TATAAATTTCCCAAGGTTTAATCGGCGAAATATTTTTGGCAGACAACTGCATGTATACACAACGAAAGTGCTGCTGAACATGGAACATTCTTTAATTAATTTCCAACTCTCGCGGGAAAGTAGGGATTATGTTTTAAAAACAATAAAAAAAAAATTATTTCGTTATTTCATCAAGCAATATCAAATTTGAGAGTTAAAAATAAATATTGTTAAAATGTAAATAAGAAATGTTTTTTTTTACCTTAAATTGTTAAATTTATGTCGATTATCAACATCCTAATATTGATGAACTCTTCCAAAGAAATCACTAAATAATAATACTCTTTCTATTTTGTTGCAGAATTTTCGAAAATATATTTTTTCGAAATAAACTTGAATAATTGAATTAAAAAACACTTTATGCAAAAACTTTAGGTAACTAACGACAGTTGGAAAAAAAGTGATTGAATTTATTGATGTTGGTAAGTATTTTCCCCGACACAGACAAATGCTGCCATCTGCATGTAATTTTCAAAATTTATATGTAAGTAACAAATTTTTCGAAAACTTAAATTTTTTGAACAATTTTGAAAGTTAAGAGCAAATTTATTTATGTTACAATGCCAAATTAAACTTGTACTCTTCCAAAAATTGAAATTTTTTGGTTATGTCGACTTGTCATGTTAATGTTACAAACTACTTTTCAATTGTTTTACAATTTAATTCGTAATAATCATAGTAATCTCGGCTCTTTAATGTAAAAGAAACAAATCTTTTGAATTTACTGTAAACAATAATCAATAAATAAGAAAACTTAAACGATTGCAAATTTCAACTACTTTTCGCCAAGGTCGAAGACGTAATGAGCCGTTCCCGAAGTGTGGCGCAGAACGCTTGCGGCAGCAACTCAAAGCGCGGGGAAATCTTTTAAATTCAAATCGTAATATTTTCAAAATATTGTTTTTTCCAAGAAATACTAAAGAATACACTAACAATTTATTATCAAGAATATCGGAAATTAAATATATTTATTTATTTGTTTTTTAAACTTTTAGTAAAAATTATTCTGAGATAATACTAATTTTCTCTATTCTGAGATAATGTAGAAATCTATATTATCTACAGGGATATTATTTTTCAAATTAAAAATTAATATTATTGGTATTCGAGTACAGGAGATATTTTAATTTATAATTAAAATTAAAAATTAATTTTTTAAAAATATATAAAGAAAAAATATAAAAGTGAAAAATGTTACCTTATGATGTTTCCTAAATTTGTTTCGACTATCAAATATCAACAGAGAAATTAAAACCAAATAAATATTTTTTCTATATTATTTCACAACTTTTGATAAATAATCGAGTATTTTTTCAGAATAGACTTGAATATTTAATTTAAAAAACTATACAAAAACTTTACGTACATTGACAGCTGGAAAAGAAGTAGTTGAATTTATTGATGTCGGTAATTATTTTAGACAAATACTGCCATCTGCAGATAATTCTTAAAATATCCAAGGCAAAAACTTTTCGAAAAATTTAAATTTTTTAACAAATGATTTCAAGATCAAAATTATTTTTATGTTTTCTATTAAATTTTTACTTATACAAAAATTGCAATTTTTAGGTTATGTAAACTCGTTATGTTACAAATGCTACTTTTTATTTGTTTTACAATTTTAGTGTTTGTAACAATCATATTAAACACTGTTTTGCAATGGAAAATAACTAATTCCTGGGTATTTGTAGATTTTCAATGAAAAATGACTAATTGTTTATAGATTTGCAATCAATTTGTCAAAATGTACTCAAAATGACAAAGGAGCTGGATTATTTCCGAATATATTATATCTAGTACTTTAAGACAATAAATGAATGTGAATATATTAATTTTACATCAAAATTAAATGTAAATATACTGTAAATACTAAACAATAAATAAGAAAATTTGTGCGATTGCAAAATTCAACTACTTTTCGCCAAGGTCGAGAACGTAATGAGAGGATATGACGCTTGCCGTCTGAAGTGCGTCGCAGAACGCATATAACGGAAACAACTTCAAGCGCGGGAAAATCTTTCAAATTCAAATCGTAATAGTATTCGAAATACTTACAATTTTTCAAAAAGAAATTAAATAATACTGGCAACAATTGTAACAATTGTGAATTTTGGTGTCTTTTTCGTTTGTCTCATAAATTACGAAATTATCACGAATTCCAATAAAAAATATTCAATTTTTTCTATTTCTGACAATAATTAATTTTTAAATAACTTAATTATTGAACAGCTATCATAAAATTATTACTTAAAAATTATTTAATGAATAATTTTACTAAAATATTTGCAAATTAATTAAATTTTCATAAATAAATGAACTTCAAAAGGTTTCAATTTAAAATTTTATAAAATTTCAATGTTGAATCAATTTAATTAGAAATTTTATTGAACTTGGATTTTTGAAGAATTTTAATAATTATATTTCATTAATATTTTAATTATTTAGAATATTTTAATAATTCGAAATTTTAATAATTCAAAATTTTAATAATTCAAAATCTTTTGAAATAAGTTAAATTTGTCAATTTATATTTAATTAAAATTCAATTATTTTCCAAAAGTAATAAAAGACTTATCATAAAATTCAATTTTCATTCAAAATTAAAAAAAAACTCTTCAAAATCCTAATTTTCTTTATAAATAATAAAATTCTTTCTTGAAATTCAATTATTTTCAAAAAATTTCCTCATTTTAATTGATTTTCAATATGTCTACAATTTTAATAAAATTACCCAAAAGAATTCAAAATTATTTTTAAAAAAATTTACAAAACTTGTACGCAAATATTTAATTATTTTCATAAATAATACGATTGAATAAATAAATAAAAATTTCATAGGAATTTAATTATTTACAAATTCTTTATAAGAATTCAATTATTATTATGAATAATAAAAAATTTTTATAAGAATTCAATTATTTTCATGAATAATAAAAAAATTATATAGGAATTCAATTATTATCATAAATAATAAAAAAGTTTTATAGGAATTCAATTATTTTCATAAATAATAAAAATTTGTTATAAGAATTCAATTATTTTCATAAATAATAAAAATTTTTTATAGGAATTCAATTATTTTCATAAATAATAAAAAATTTTTATAGAAATTCAATTATTTTCATAAATAATAAAAAATTTTTATAAAAATTCAATTATTTTTATAAATAATAAAAATTTTTTATAAGAATTCAATTATTTTCATAAATAATAAAAAATTTTTATAGAAATTCAATTATTTTCATAAATAATACAAATATTTTATAAGAATTCAATTAGTTTTATAAATAATAAAAATTTTTTATAGGAATTCAATTATTTTTATAAATAATATATTTAAATAATTGAATTCTCGTAGAATTTTCTGATAAAAATTTATTTAAAAATGAATTTTAATTTAAATTTTAGATAATAATAATTGAATATGAAAATAATTTTGAAGAACTCAGTATAACAATATTCTTATAATATAAAATAATATTTTTATCACTCGATCATCTTTAATTATTATAAGTTATTTAATTTCAAAAAGGTTTGAATTTAAAATTTTTGAAAAGCTTAATTCGCCTATGAAAAAATAATAATAATTAAATATTTATTTAAAAAAGAAGTTATTGATGTTTTCGAATAATTTTATAAAATTAAAGAAATTCATAAATGAATGTAACAGAACATTTTTTATATAAGTAAAATTTTTTTCTTTATTTTCTAAAAATTCAAAAATTTTCAATTTCATTTTCAATTAAAATTTTTAATTGACAAATAGAATTTATAAACATTTTTTTCCTTTATTTTTAAGAAATAAGAAATAAGAAACTTTGCAGTTTATTAAAATAATTGTAATTAAGAAATAGAAATGTTATGCTAATTATTTCCTTATGAAAATTGAGAATAATTTTCTATCCAAAAAAATTGAGAGACGGGAATTTGTAATTTTTCCCAAAATAAAAAAATTAGTTTCTGAACAATATTGTTATTGAGAAATAAAAAATTTTAATTGGTCATTTAATTTCTATTTTTTAATAATAATTTTTCAATCAATTAACAATTTTCTATTTTTTATAAATAAAAAGGAGAAGAATTCGCATAATTTAGATCAGTCAAAGGAAATTTTTTAATAAACAAAATGGGTCTAGGTATTTGTTTAATTTATTAATCATAATTTTTTTTATTCTATGCAAATTTTCGATGTAATTCTTTTTTTTTAAATTAAATTAAGAAAAGTAATAAAAACAAATATGTAAAATTTGTTTTCCACAAGTTAATTAAATATTTTTCTTTTTGCCAATAATTTTACTCCAAACTCGAAAATTACATTTTTAACCTTGCTTTATTGCATTTGAAATTAAAAGTACATTATTCACCTACAATTCGATGACTATTCTAAAATTCATAATTAACAAAAGTGGAAATATACCCCGAATGAAGCGCATGAGCATACTTGCACTGATAATTATCAGGATTGTAACTATAAATCGTCTACTTTTTCATTAAAATAAAAATATTTTCCTCTTTTTATTTATTTAAATTTTCTCATTCATCACAAAAGTAAAATTTTTAATAAAAAATAAATTTTATTAATATCGCAATTAATATTCACTAATTTAATTTTTATCGCAATTTTCAAATAATTATAAAGTTATAATTATAAATATTTATAATATTTATAATATAATTATAAAGTGTTTAATTTTAAAGTAAAATTTGGTTAAACAAATCTTTGCTAATTGTTCCTTTCCGGTAAACATTTTTTTAAACCGCATATTTTATGTTGTTTAGAAAACAAATAGAATTCTCTATTTCTATTCTTTTTTTTTCAATGATATTCTTCAATAGAGAAGAGAAACTGAATGCACTTATCGATCCGGTTTTAGTATATATACCTATTGTATTTTTGTAAAGCACATTAAATGGGGGATGATGATGAAAGTGGAGGGGGAAATTCGCTACCCTCCCTAACTACGCCATTGTAAAAAAGATTCAATGTGAACGCGAGTGTACGTTCTGTTAGACACACAAGTGTATTCTTGCAATGATTTAGTTTACGAAGAAAGAAACTACAACTGTTTTATAAAAAATGACCTTCCAATGTTCAATAAAAATTATTGTGAATCATTGACTGGTTGGAATTGGTGTAAATATAGTGAGAACAGTTATTTTAAGATGAAACATACATAACCAAGTTTATATTTTCAATTCTAAAATACTATTTTTACAAGAAGAAAATAATTCTCAAATTGACATTTTTTTTTCTATTTGACAGTCTTTTGACTAATTAACTAATGAAAATGTTTTCAATTTCTTCTCATTTTAATGTCAAAATGTGTATTTTTTGAAACAATAACACAATGGATAAAAATTATTGCGCAGTAAGCAAAAAAAAAAATATTTTTATTAATTAATTCCTTAATTAATTCATAAATTCTTATTTCTTAATTTCATTTTTATTAACTTTTTCTTCCCTAATTGATTTTTTAAAAATAATTTTTATTATAAATGTAGAACAAAACATAGTTTTAAAAACAATAACAAAAATTCTATTCAAAATTATTATTAATTTTATTAATTTACATTATATTACATTCTTATTTATTCATATGCTTTTATTAAAATAAAAAAGTAAACTTTTTTAAAAAATTTACAATGTTTATTTTTATTTATCTGACAATAATTTATTGTTTTTAAGGTCCGAATAAATATTATAAAAAAAGAATTATTGCAATAATAATTAATATCACATTTTTATTACAATAAAATTATTACAGTGCATAAAACATTTAAACAGTTATAGATTATATTTTTGTAAAAAAAGTTTTCCTTTACTCATAAGCGTATATTTGCATTTGTTACATAATAGGTAAAGATTCCTAGAATAAACAAAAAATTATTATTTCAAATAGAAAATACTGACATAGATTTATTATTTCAAATGCTTATTATTTACGTACAAAGAAAAGAAAAAATATAAAACAAAAATTGTTATAAAAAACTATTTTATAACACTTTTTTCACATTTATAAAAATATTTTTATATAATTTATAGTTAACAAAAAAAAAATGTTTAATTAGAAAAAAAAATTAATATAATATAAATATAATAATAAAAGATAAATATAATAAATATAATTAATTAAAATTAGAAAACACATTACAAGTGACGCTCCACGGTGAAGGGAATCTTACGTGACAAAAAATTAATTTTAAGCTCTCTTGTAGGGGATAATACCAGTGCTACCTGGCGGCTGGTATTTTATCCCCTACAACCAAGCGCAGCACTTGTTATATTGTTTCCAGCCTGTCAATTTAAGTTTAAAATTAATTTTCAATTTCAAAAACTTGTTTCTAATTTATTTCACATTCTAACAATATGCAGGAAGTCATAAAATATTTCAAGAACTTTTCTAACAAGAAAAATAATTAACTTTTATGTTTGGAAAAATCGAGGTGCACAAAATTTTTTAAAATCAAATTCATAGTTAATTAATATAATATCAATATAATGTATATTAAAATATCAATTATTTTTCTTAAAAATTAATAAAATTAATGAAATCAAAATATTAAAATAATATTTTATGCACCAAAATTTATTTTTATAATAATATTTTATTATTTATAACAATTAATTGATAATAATTATTATAATAATTAAGTACCCAATTATTTAAATATAACAAAATTTTATTTAAAAAAAAAAAATCTAATCTATTTCATATCTTATCATCTTTCAGTTTGCAGAGTGAGGAGATAAAAATTCCCCTCAGAAATAAAATATCAGTAGACACCAAACTTTTGTAAAAATTACATCGCAAGAAAAAGAGAAGATCCAAATTATTATCAATTATAAAAATCTACAAAAATTTATAAAGAAACAAAGAATAAGGAAAAAAATTATTCCCTGAGTGATGTTACGAGAATTAAAAATTGACCTTCCTGCCCCAACAATAATTGATCAAATATTGTGATAAAAAATGTAAAAAAAAAAAAAGAAGAAAAAATTCATTTTCTTTTCTACAAAAAAAGAAAGAAGGAACAAAAAAAAAATTTGAAAATTTTATATACTATACTTTTTTATCATACAATTTAATTTTGTGGACCACTTGTATAATTAAATGTAGGAATATAGCCAAAGAATACCAAAAAAAATGGAACACGATTGTAAATAATATTGTGCAAAAAAAGAATTTTGTAAACAATAATTACAATGATAAAGTGGAATTTAATGTTGTAGAAAGATAACGGATAGAAAGCTGCAAATAGAACAATATAAAAAAAAACAGGTAAAAATATAGGAAATTCTTTTTTATTATTATATTATATTTTTTTTCACAATCTATTTCTAAATTTACAACTAAACTTTGTGCTTTGCTTTTCGACCAAAATATAATTTTCTTATTATGATTTATTCTAATTCTTATTGTACTCTGTAATACTCTTATAATAATAATAATACCATGTAATAATAATAATATGTAATATAATAATAATATGTAATATAATAATATAATGTAATATAATAATAATATGTATATAATACTCTTTAATTTCAGTTCAGATATTAGTGGATATAAATATAAATTCAATATTTGGATTCAATATAATTATGAGAGAAAACATGAAGAAAAGACTACTACTGGGTTTTATATGCGCTGTTATTTTATTCATATTAGTAATAACTAATGATGGTGATTTTACTCAAATAATTGTACCCCTTATGAGTAGCAGTAAAGAACGTGACATATCATGTTATATTAAAACGTCCGATGCTAATGGACTTCAGGAATTTGATGCAACAAAAGGTTTTTTCAATTAGAATAACAAATTTAAAAAAAAAATAATTAAATTTTATAATAACAAATTTAAAAAAAAAATTTTTTTAATTAGTATTTTTATGTATAGTATTATCGTTAGTATTATTATTTTTGCTTCCTCATAGAGGAAGGATTGTATTTCAAACAATTTTTAACTATTTTTCCTCTTATTGTTCTTTAATAGTTCTTTTATCTTTTTTAAAATTTTCATTCTAAAGTATATTTCTTTTTATTTTTTTAAATTGTTTTTTCTATATATTATATAATAACTATAATTTATTTAACTTTAGTAGATCATGAATAATATTATAATAATAATAGCTTGAACAATTAACAAATGTGACTAAATGAAAATTAGCTTCAGTAATATTAAAATTAATTTCAAAGAATGAAAATTCAAAGTAATGAGGAAAAATTTTTAATTATTGTATTTGCAACAAGCAGTTCATATTTAGAATATTAATTACTATTCGATTTATGGTCGCAATAAAATAAATCCAAAGAATTGTGCCTTCAATTGTTGATATTGAAAATAGTTATAGCTTCAATTATTGGTAATTGAAAATAATAATAGTTTTAATTATTCATAATTTAGATTAAATGATGCGTCTTCAATTATTTCATTGAAGCTATAATAGAAAACAAACAGAAGATACTGCATTAACTGAATGTACTTTTTTTTGTTTCATTAATTAATAATTAAAATTAATTTTACCTTCTGTTAAATCATAATTAAATCAAAAAATAACTAAGAAAATATAATAAATAACTAAGATGATTTTAACTTCAATAAAACTAATATTTAAAATTATTTTTAAATATTTTTTTAAAATTATTTTTAATTTATAATAACCAAAATTGAATCCAATAGTAGCTTAATAATTAAAAATTGTAACTAATTTTATTTTGAATAATTCATAATTGATTTTAATAGTAGCTCCAGTAATTGATAATTTTAAATAATTGTAACTTTAATATAATTAATAATTGAAACTAATTTCAACTTTAACAATAAATTCATAATTAAATCAAAAAGTAAATTCAATAATTAATATATTTTACAGAGTTGCCACAGGTATTGGAAATCAGGGAAAACTCAGAAATTTTTATTAAAGTACTGGAAAAAATTTAATTTTGAAAAAGTTACAAATAATTGCAAAAATTCAATAAAATTTTTTTAAAAAAATTTTAAATTATCGTCAAAATTTCAATTATTTTTAAAAATAATAAAATTCTTCTCCAAAATTCAATGATTTTCAAACATTTTCCTCAATTCAATGATTTTCAATATCTACTATTTTAATCAAATTTTTCAAAAAAATTCAATTATTAAAACAAAAAGTATTAATGAGATTCTAAGCAAACATTAAGTTATTTTTATAAATAATAAAAATTTCACAGGAATTCAATTATTTACAATTTTTTTATAAACTTCTTCGCAATAATTCAATTATGTGCATAAATAATAAAATTTTTTTTACAGAGATTCAATTATTTTCATGAGAAATAAAACTCATTATAGAATTTCAATTATTTTAAATACAATTTTAGTTGAATTCCTCGAAAAATGTACCTAATTATTTTCAAAAATGGTATGAAAATTCTTCGAAAGAATTCAATTATTTAAAAATAATTTTAAAATATTATAGCATAAAGCTTTAAAAATAACTGAATTTTGAAAAGGTTTTAAATTAAAATATTTGAAAATTTTAATTTATTATATTTTTAAGTAACAATTCTGTGAAATTAATTTATTTGAGAAAGTTTAATTAATAAATTTTTTTAAAAATTATTTGAAGTTTTTTTCTATAAATATTTATAATTGAAGAATGTCTGAATAATCGAAATTTTGTAAAATTGAATTGTAAACAAATAGATTTGAAAATTCTCAAAGAACTTTTGCAAAAAGTATTAAAAATAATTGATAATTGAATTCTTTTGAAGAATTTTAGAAATATTTTCAAAAATAATTACATTTTTTGAAAATTCACTTAAAATTGTATTAAAAATAATTAAAATCCTATGGAAAATTTTATTATTTATGAAAGTAATTGAATTCTTACAACGAATTTTTATTACATCTTTTTAAATAATTGAATTCTTTTAAGAAGTTTTGTTAAAATAATAGATTTTGAAAATATTTGAATTTTAACGAAGAATATCATTAAAAGTGAAATGTAATTTAATTATTGCAAAAAATTTTAGTAAATAATTACATTTTTCGAGGAATTTATATTTAAAATTGTATTAAAAATAATTGAAATCTTATGAAAACTTTTATTCTTTATGAAAATAATTGAATTCTTACAACGAATTTTGTTGCATTTTTTTAAATAATTGAATTCATGTGAAGAATTTTATTATTTATGAAAATAAATAAATTCTTGCAATGAATTTTGCTCCATTTTTTTAAATAATTGAATTCATGTGAAGAATTTTATTATTTATGAAAATAATTGAATTCTTGCAACGAATTATATTAATTTTTTTAAATAATTGAAATCCTGTATAGAATTGTATTATTTATAAAAATAATTGAATTCTTGCAAAAAATTTTAGTTAATAATATTACATTTTTCGAAGAATTTATTTTAAATTGTAATAAAAATAACTGAAATCCAATGAAAAATTTTATTATTTAAAAAAATAATTGAATTCATACAACGAATATTGTTACATTTTTTAAATAATTGAATTCATGTGAAGAATTTTATTATTTTTGAAAAGAATTGAATTTTTACAACGAATTTTGTTGCATTTTATTTAATAATTAAATTCATGTGAAGAATTTTATTATTTATGAAAATAATTGAATTCTTGCAACGAATTATATTAATTTTTTTTTAAATAATTGAAATCCTGTAAAGAATTTCATTATTTGTGAAATGTAATTGAATTCTTGCAAAAAATTGTAGTAAATAATTACATTTTTCGAGGAATTTATATTTAAAATTGTATTAAAAATAATTGAAATCCTATGAAAACTTTAATTATTTATAAAAATAATTCAATTCTTACAACGAATTTTTTTTACATTTTTTTAAATAATTGAATTCTTAAGTGAAAAATCTAAATTTTTTTTTGGCAACCCTGTTTTTTATTAAATGTAGCTTCAATAACCAATTGAAACTATATAACGTTAATTTCAATAATTCAGTGTGCACTTTTTATATTAAATCGAATTAAATATTAAAAATAATTAAATAGTTAAAATAATGAAATTAATTAATAACTAATAAATTAATTTTCATCTACAGAGTGTATATTTTAGCTATTTCATTTAAATTCCTGTCAAATGTGAAAGCACTTTTTTTTTTAGAGATTTGTAATCACAATACTTTTTTTTATTCTGATTTTAGATAGTGATAGACCGAAATTTGGAAATAATATATTTTTTCACGAAACTTCGTGCTTTGATAATGATGAATTAACATTAAATGCAAGACAAGCGTGTGCTGTTGAATCGGCAGCAAGAATGAATGGAAAAATGACAGTCTACCTATTATTTATGAGTCCATCAAAAATATCCGAATCATCGAAACAATTAATAAGACAATTATTGAGCTATGAGAATATCAAAATTCGACGCCTTTATATGAATAATTACGTGAAACATACGCCATTGGAGGAATGGTATGACAGTGGTATTTTGAGAACAAGCCGTTGGCCAAAAAGTCACATGTCTGATATTTTGCGATATCTCACATTATGGAAGTACGGTGGCATTTATTTGGATCTGGACGTCGTTGTAACAACGTAATAAAATTCATATTATAATAAACTTTTTTTTTCAACAAAAAAGGAGGCAGTAAAAAGTATATCTTTTACTATACTTTTTAGCGCCTTTTTAAATATTTTTGCTTTAAAGTGAATAAATTTTGCAATTCTTACATCGCACTTGGAGTAAAATTTACTCTGATGTATATAGTAATTTTATAAATCTTGGAATGATTTACTTCAAACGACTAGTGATATTTATTCCTTAAATAGTAAAAAATATGTAATTTTTATTATTCTCGAAATAGATTTTTGACTATACGTTCAAAGTAAATTTTACTAAAATTTATTACGGCTCTAGGCATACAGTAAAATTGGTAAAAATTCCCTAAAAACCGAACATAATAAAAATAATAAATAAAATAAATTTTATTTTAGTTTTTGTTCTTTTTTTAACAATTTTTACTATTTTCGGAGTAAATTTTACTCTACCTACAAAACAAATTATACTAAATTCATCAAAAAGTTACTATGAGCTTAGTAAAGTTTTTATTAAATTTTTTGAAGTAAATTTTATTAAAATTTGCTAATTATATTTTATACTCGATTTTTAAAAATTCCTTAATAAATTGAAAATAGTAAAAATAGTAAAATAAAGAATAGAGCAACTTTTAGTTTATTATTCTACACTTTTTTAAAATTTTTACGCTTTTTAACAATATTTACTATTTTCGGAGTAACTTTTACTATACATTACGAATCTAGGTATAAAGTTAAATTACTAAAAATTCCTACAGGGTCAGGGAGAAGTCAGGGATAGTAGAATTGGTCAGGAAAATCAGGAAAAAGTCAGAGATTTTTATTAAAAGTAGTGAAAAAAAAATTAAATTTTAGAATTTATAAGAAAATTCTGACTTTTCGTGTCTTTTTTGTTTGTCCCATAAACGATGAAATTACACCACGAATTCTAATACAAAACCTTTGATTTTTTCTATTTCTGACAATAATTTCTATTTAAATAACTTAATTCTTAAAAAAACTATCATAAAATTATTGCTTATAAATTATTTACTAAATAATTATACTTAAACATTTCAAATTAATTGAATTTTAAAAGAATTACGATTACAATTTTCATAAATAGATGAACTTCAATTTATGAAAAATTTTGATAATTCAAAATGTTATGAAATTAGTTAAGTTTCTTAATATACATATTTAATTAATTATTAAAAATAATGAATTTAAAGAAAACTTTTAGTTAAAAACACTAAAAAAAACTGAATTTTAGAGAAGTTACAAATGATTGGAGAAATTCAACTATTTTCAAAAGTAATACAATTCTTCGCAGAAATTTAATTATGTCCAAAAATAAAAAAAAAAATTAATATCTATTACTGTAATAAAATTTTCCAAAAGAATTCAATTATTTAAAAAAAAAAATTTTTTAATTCTACGCAAACGTTTAATTATTTTCAGAAATAATAAAAATATCACAGGAATTCAATTATTTACAAATTTGTTATAAATTTCTTAGTAATAATACCACTATTTTTATAAACAATACAATTTTTAACAGAAATTTAATTATTTTCGTAAATAATAAAATTCTTTTTAGGAATTTAATTATGGTTAATTATTTAATTAATTAATTTAATTTTAATCGAATTCCTCGAAAAATGTATAATTATTGTTGAAAATTTTATTAAAATTCGTCGAAAAAATTCAATTATTTAAAAATTTAAAAACATATTATAGAACCAATTTTCAAAAAAAAATTGAATTTTGAAAAGGTTTTAAATTAAAATCTTTGAAAATACATCTGTAGAATTAATTTTTTTTGAAAATATTTAATTGAATTTTTTTTAAATTATTTCAGTTTTTTTTTAATATTTATAAATTATAATTGAAGAATGTCTGAATAATCGAAATTTTGTAAAATTGAATTGTAAACAAATGGATTAGAAAATTCTCAAGGAACTTTTGCAAAAAATATTTAAAATATTTGATAATTGAATTCTTTCGAAGAATTTTAATAATATTTTTGAAAATAATTACATTTTTCAACAAATTTACTTAAACAGAGAATTTTCATTACATTTTTTTTTAATTAATTGAAATCCTATAAAGAATTTTATTATTTATGAAAATAATTAAAATTCTTACAACGAAACTTTTTACATTTTTTTTTAAATAATTGAAATCCTGTGTAGAATTGTACTATTTATCAAAATAATTGAATTCTTGCAACGAATTTTATTACATTTTATTAAATAATTGAATTCATGTGAAGAATTTTATTATTTATGAAATTAATTGAATTTTTACAACGAATTTTATTAAATTTTTTTGAATAATTGAATTCTTGCAACGAATAATATTAAATTTTTTTAAATAATTAAAATCCTGTAAAGAATTGTATTACTTTTATGAAAATAATTGAATTCTTGCAACGAATTTCATTACATTTTTTTAAAAATAATTGAATTTTTTTCGTGAAAAGAATTGAATTATTTTAAAATTTAGTTGATTAAATCCTTAATGAGAATTCAATTTTGAGAGACGCTTAATTATTCAATAAATTTATTTTCGTATTTAAATAATTGAATTCTCGTAGAATTTTCTAATGAAAATTGATTTAAAAATGAATTTCAGTTTAAATTCAGAAATAATAATTGAATATTAAAAGCATTATAGCGTAAATTTTTCGGAATAACTGAATTTTGAAAAGGTTTCAAATTAAAGTCTTTGAAAATTTAAATTTTAATAATAATTAATTATTTATTTAAAAAATAACTTATTGATGTTTTCGAATAATTTGCAAATAAAGAAATTCATAAATAAATGTAATTAAACTTCTTTTTTGAGTCCTAATCATTTTTAAAGTGAATTCGAATTCTTCAGGAGGGAAAAAATCAAAATTTTGTCTGGAAATCAGAGAAAAATAAAATTCAATAATTTTAGTGGCAATCCTGTTGTAGTAGAAAAAATAAATTGCCCTATGAATTTCTACCAAAAGGTATTTTATTCCATTTTTTTTTTATTTATAACTAAGTGAAATAATTGCATTTTCAGATCACTGGAGAAATTAAAAAATTTTTCTGGTGCTGAAGACTGGGAGGATGTTGCAGCAGGTGTGATTGGATTTGGAATGGACAATTTAGGTAGAAGAGTGGCTGACGCTTGCGTGAGGGATTTAAAAAGAAATTTTAAAGGCAATGTTTGGGGTAATAATGGACCCGGAGTGATAACAAGAATCCTACAAAAACTCTGTGATACAAAATATGTAATAATTTTTCCCTACTATTTTTTTTTTCTTGTACCTTAAAAAATTATCTAAATATTCATTTTTGATTCGATAATTCTATACGAAATTCAGAGAGATAAATTAAAATTTTTATCATATCGAAAAAATATCAAAATATTAATATTGATTCAAACATTAGATTTAAGAAAAAAAGTGATAGAAATTTAAAGAAAGAATAAATTTTTATCGTTTTTTTAGTTTCGAAAATTTATCTAAATATATTAATATTTAGAAATATTTTCATAGAAATGAGAAATTAATTTTTATCTTCTATTTTTTAGGCTCGCGATATGACACCAGTTCGTTGTAATGGTTTCAAGGTTTTTCCACCATCTGCTTTTTATCCAATTGGCTATAAAAATTGGACAAAATACTTTGAGACAAATGATATTAATGAGACTATGGAGATTATTAAAAATTCAAAAGCAATTCACGTTTGGAATAAATTCAGTCACGAGAGACAAATCAAAGTTGGCAGTCAAGTGCCCTATTCAATAATTGCCCAGAAATATTGTCCTAAAGTCTATAACAATTGCGGTACATTTTTCTGAGCCTATTTTTCCCCTCTGTGCTTTTTCCAAAATTTCCAAATGTGATTTTTTGACATTTCCATCTAATTTGACGTAAAAAATTTGTTAAATTAATAATTAGATAACATTTTTTTATTATTATTTCTAGAATTAAAGAAAAATTTGTACATTTTTCAACTGCTTTATAATTTTTTTTTCTAAATATGTTTTTTAGAAATATTTTAAAAACATATTTTTAAAAAATATCTTCAAATTCTTTAAAAACATATTTTTAAAAATAAATATTTGCAAATGAAGTTTGTTATTTTCTTTTAAAGGAAAAAAAAAGTATTATTTTTGTAAAAAAAAAAAGTGTTGCAAATTTTTACGACACTAAAAAGAGCATGAAGCCAAAATCTAAAAGAAAAAGAAAGATTATATCATTGCCTACATTTTATAAATAATTAATATTTCATCACACCATTGTCTTAGTGAATAAAAAATTATCAGTATTCTAAGTATGTTTTTTATATGTAGAAAAAAAAGTATTTATAAGAGATAAAAACTACTTAATAAGATAAAAATAATATAAAAAAACAATTCTAGAATTAAGATTTTCTAGAAGCAAAAGATTTTAGTTATACCTGTTGCTCAAATTTTTCAATCTTTGTTATAGCAAATTGATTCACTGTAACAGTATTATTTTAATAAATTAATATTCTCAAATATTATTTATTTTTTAATTCCAATCGTTAAAAATAAAATTTAACTAAAAATTTTTTATTCACAATAATATGCAAAATTGAAAATTGCCGAAAATTCATTTTCTTAGTGAGATTATTAAATATTTTATTCACAATAATAACAAAAAAAAATTGTTTATTATTTTTTTTTAATTTAAATTAAATTTTTTAAATTTTCTATTTAAAATTAATTTTTTTTTTGTTTATAACTTTAAAGAAAGTTAATATAGTCGATTTAGTACTGCAAATAAAAAGTTGGATAATAATCAAATAACATTTATTTATCATAAAGATAATAGAAGCTTATTATTATTAAAAATTGGTCATTTTGCAAAGTTATGATAAGGATAAGATAAGATATAAATTTTCCTGTTGCATCTTGATATAATAAAATTTTAGTTTTCTCATCCAATATCACTATATTACACAGTAAATAAAAATTATGTCTCGAACTTTTAAGCAAAAATTTTAATTAACCAAATTTTATCCCAAATAATTAGATAATTAGATAATTTCTTAATAGAAAATAGTATTGAAAAATTTCTTTTTCTAATTTTTACTTCTACAATGATGGTCGGTACTAAAAGAAATTAAATAACTTTTTCTGTAGATTTAAAAATTGTTAATTAATTAATAAAAAAAATTTAAATTAAATTAAATTAAAATATTTTAATTTAATTTTAAAATAAAAAATAAAAATGCAGTTGTATAGAAAGAAATTATTAATATTTTTATGTGGAATAATTACTTTATATGTTCTCTTCATATCTGTTGATCCATTCAATAATAATGTTATTACGATAAATGAAAACGTAATTTTGCATGTGAATAAAAGAATTGTCACTCTTCCTCCAACGACAACGGTTAAAAAAAAATTACGTGTTATAAATGAAACTGATTTTTCTTGCTACACCGAAACAACTGATCCTGATGGTTTAATGGAATTAAATTACTCCAATGGTATGTACATTTTATTATTAACTATTTTGTTAATTAAATTTTTTTTTTTTTTTTTTTAATTAAAATTTAGAATAAACTTATATTTGATTATTTATTTTCTTATTTAATAATAGACGAGGGACGAAAATTATGTTTATTATGAACATAATTTTAATAAAATCCTAGAAGATTTTTATCAAAAGTTAAAAATTAAAAATTAAAAATTAAAAATTAAAAAAAATTTTTTCTTAATTAAAATAAAATTTTAATTAAAAATTAAAATTAAAAAAAATTTTTTTTTAATTAAAATAAAATTTTAATTAAAAATTACTTAATTATTTTAAGAAAAGGAAGGACCAACATTGGGAAAAAGTATTTTCTTTCACGAGACTTCCTGCTTTGGAGACAGTGAATTGCTCCTAAATCCAAGAGAAGCATGTGCAGTCGAATCAGCAGCCCTTATGAATCCAAATTTAACCATCTACCTCCTGTTTTTAAGCGGTTCAAAAGTCTCCATCTCGGCAAAACAATTAATTCAACATCTCTTGTTATACAAAAATATAAAAATACGTCGAATTAATATTGATAAATACATAAAAAATACACCATTGGAAAATTGGTACGCCACTGGTATTCTAAAAACGAGTAAATGGCCAAGAAATCACATGTCCGATATTATGAGGTATCTCACTTTATGGAAGTACGGAGGAATTTATATGGATCTTGACGTTGTTGTCATCAAGTAAATCAAATTTTTAAATATGTCTTTTTCTATATATTTTATTCCCAAAACAGGACACGATTTTCCCGGAAGCTTCCAGTATGGAACCTTTCTAATCTTTCTTTAAAATTCCAAAAGAATTCAATTATTTAAAAAATATAATAAAATTCTACGTAAACATTTAATTATTTTCAGAAATAATAAAAATTTCACAGGAATTCAGTTATTTACAAAATTTTTTTAAAAATTTCTTCGCAATAATTCAAAATTATTTGCATAAATAATAAAAATTTTTTAAAGAGATTCTATTATTTTTATGAATAACAAAACTCATTATAGAATTTCAATTATTTTTAATACAATTTTAATCGAATTCCTCGTAAAATGTAATTATTCTTGAAAATTTTATTAAAATTCGTCGAAAGAATTTAATTATTTAAAAATTTAACAACATTATGGCACAAATTTTCAAAAATAAAAATTTTATTTTCATAAAATAATAAAAATTCTACAGGAATTCAATTATTTACCAATTTTTTGCAAAAAAAAACAAAATTAAAAATAATTGATAATTGAATTCTTTCGAAGAATTTTAATAATATTTTTGAAAATAATTACATTTTTCAACAAATTTACTTAAAATTTATTGTATTAAAAATAATTTAAGTCCTAAGAAAAATTTTATTATTTATGAAAATAAAATTGAATTCTTGCAAAGAATTTTGTTGCATTTTATTAAATAATTAAATTCATTGTGAAGAATTTTATTATTTATGAAAATAATTGAATTCTTGCAACGAATTTTGTTGCATTTTATTAAATAATTAAATTCATGTGAAGAATTTTATTATTTATGAAATTAATTGAATTCTCACAACGAATTTTATTAAATTTTTTTGAATAATTGTATTCATGTGAAGAATTTTATTATTTATGAAAATAATTGAATTCTTGCAACGAATAATATTAAATTTTTTTTAAACAATTAAAATCCAGTAAAGAATTGTATTACTTTTATGAAAATAATTGAATTCTTGCAACGAATTTTATTACATTTTTTAAAAATAATTGAATTTTTTTCGTCAAATAAATTCAATTTTATTTCGAAATTTTGTTGATAAAATTTTTCATGAGAATTCAATTTTGAGAGACGCTTAATTATTCAATTTTATTTTCGTATTTAAATTATTTGAATTCTCGTAGAATTTTCTAATGAAAATTGATTTAAAAATTAATTTCAGTGTAAATTTTAGAAATAATAATTGAATTCTTACAACAAATTTTTTAAAATAATTACATTTTTTTAAAAATGATTGAATTCTTTTGAGAAATTTGATTAAAATAGTAGATATTAAAAATATTTGATTTTCAGCGAAAAATTTCATTATTTGTGAAATGTAATTGAATTCTAATAAAAATTGATTTAAAAGTATAGTTTCAGTTAAAATTTTATATTATAATTGAATATTAAAAGCATTAGAGCGTGAATTTTTAGAAATAATTAAATTTTGAAAAGGTTTCAAATTAAAATATTTGAAAATCTTAATTTATTATATTTTTAAGTAACAATTCTGTGAAATTAATTTATTTGAGAAAGTTTAATTAATAAATTTTTTTTTAAAATTCTTTGCAGTTTTTTTCTATAAATATTTATAATTGAAGAATTTTTGAATAATTGAAATTTTCTAAAATTGAATTATAAGCAAAAGAATTTGTGAATTCTCAAAAAACTTTTTCAAAAATTATTAAAAATAATGCATTTATCGAAGAATTTGTCGTTAAAAACACGAAATAAAAATTTAATTTTCGAAAAGTTACAAAATTATTGCAGAAACTCAATTATTTTCAAGAAATCCAATTATTTTTTTTCTCAAACATTAAATATTGCTAAATAATAATAAAATTCTTTTTTGAAATTCAATTATTTTCACAAATAATAAAACTCATCGCAGAATTGCAATTATTTTTAATACAATTTTAATTGAATTTCTCAAAAAATGTAATTATTCTTAAAAATTTTATGAAAAAAATATTTTATTTATTTATTTTTTTTATTTTATTTATTTTTTTCATGTTTTATAGAATTTTGAAAAATTATTTTTTTTTTATTTTTAAGTAAAATGTTTTCTGGTTCGAGTCCTGTATTATACTACAATTTAATTTATTTATAAATTTCTATACAATATAAAAAATATGTCGATTTTTCAAAAAAAAAAATGTACCAAAAAGAATTTTCTTTTGTAGATGTTTGGAGGATTTGGAAAATTTTACAGGTGCCCAGGACGCAAATGATGTTGCCGCTGGTGTAATTGGTTTTGGAATGAATCCACTTGGTAGGAAAATGGCAAACGATTGTATAATAGATTTGAAAAATAATTTTTTGGGTTGGGCCTGGGGGCACAATGGTCCAGGTGTAATAACTAGAACACTGCAAAGACAATGCAACGCAACCATTGTGAGTAAAATATATTTCAATTAAAAATTTTTTTAAAAAAATGATGTTTTGTTATAAATAATATTATTTCAATATATTTTATTATTTTTAATATTATTTAATATTATTTCAATATATTTTATTATTTTTAATATTATTTAATATTATTTAAAATTTATAACAATAAAATTATTAAAAACAATTATAATTAAGATTATATATAAAATGAAAAATTTATTTTAGGCACAAAAAATGACAAAGGACAAGTGTCAGGGTTTCCAGGTATTCCAACCTTCCGTTTTTTATCCAATTTTTTATCCAAGTTGGAAAAAATACTTTGTGACAAATGATTTTAATGCAACAATGAAAACAATTGAAAATTCAAAAGCAATTCACGTTTGGAATAAATTCAGTAAAACTGAAAAACTTCAAGTCGGTAGTAATGTACCGTATGGAAAAATAGCCGAAAAATATTGTCCGAAAACATACAAAAATTGTGGCAAAACGTTTTAAAATAAAACGATAATATTTTTAGAATAATTTAATGTTATTTTATAAATAACATTATACAAGAATACCGATGTATATTAAAAAAACTGCCATAGAATTTTTTTTTATAATTTATGAAATACGAAATGATATTTAAATAAATTTTTATACATTATCTAAAAAAGTAACAAGTGTCAATTTAATTAAATTTGTTTTTAAAAAGTAAACATATTTAGCTAAAATGAATTTAAAATTAATTCCAGGAAATTTAAATTAATTTTAAATTAATTTTCCAGGAAAACATTTTATCCAAAAAAAATTATTAAATTATTAATCCTTCCTCCTTGTTAAAAAAATAATAAATTATATTATTATTGATAATTTAATTTAAAATAAAAAAATTATTTAGCCGAATAATTGTTTTAAAACTAAATTAATTAAATAAATAATTTTTTTTCATATTCCAGGAAAATATTTTATTAAAATAAAAATTCTTTACCTCCTAAGAATAATTAATAAATTGTTAAATGTGTAGAAAAATTCAAGATTAAATTAAATTTAACTCAAATTTAATTAAATTGAATTAAAATTTAATTCAAAATTAATTAAATTGCATTAAAATTTAATTCAAAATTAATCTAATTGCACTAAAATTTAATTCAAAATTAATTAAATTGAATTAAAAGTTCTTTCAATTTCTGCAAGATTACGTGCTATATATGGGGAAAAAATTAAAAAAGTATTTCGATTATTTAAATTATTATTTAAAATAATAGTTTAAAAACTTTTAAATTAAAATATAAATGAAAAAAAGAATTTGAAATACAAATTAACGAGAATTAATTTGAATTTAAACTTTATTTTCGTGTTACCGCAATCAGTGAAAATGTGTCAAATGTACAAGTTACTTAAAAACTTCCTGATAATGTTAACAAATTGATGGCCAAATGAGACCGTTAATCGTCTAGATACAACAGGAGGATAAGAAGAAGACAAAATAAAGTTTCGTGTTTACTTTTAGAAACAAAACAAATAATCAGTAATGTCACTATCAAAATTTAACAATAAGTCAAATATTACGCTTTTAATTGTACCATTAATCTTTTTCATTTCTATAATAATCCAAAACTTGAGCAATTTTAAATGTGCAACACGAAAAAAATATTACATTTTTTTTTATAATTAAGAATTTTTTTTATAATTTTTATATTTCACATTCCTGGAATATTCCAGTGGAAAATTGGGGAATATTTCTTTGGAATATTCCATTTTTATTTTATTTCTTTATTCCATTCACATTTCTGGAATATTCCAGAGGAACATTGAGAATATTTTCTCGGAATATTTCGTCCTTATTTTATTTTTTATTCCATTCACATTGTTCGAATGTTCCAGTGAAAAATTGGAAATATTTCTTTGGAATATTCAATTTTTATTTTATTTATTTATTCCATTCACATTTCTGGAATATTCCAGAGGAACAGTAAGAATATTTTTTCGGAATATTCCATCCCTATTTTATTTTCTATTCCATTCACGTTCCTGAAATATTACAGTGGAATATTGAAAATATTTTTTTGGAATATTCCTTCCCTATTTTATTTATTTATTCCCTTCAAATTCAAGAAATGTTCTAGTGAAACATTTGATAATATTTTGTTAATATTCCGAGAGAATATTTTTAAATTTCAAAAGAATATTTTTATAATATTCCAAAAGAATATTTTAACAATATTCCAGAGGAATATTTTGATAATATTTCAAGAAAATATTTTTAATTTTTATAAGTATATTTTTATATATGTACTTTGATAATATAATATTCTTAATAAGTATTTTGCTAATATTGCAGAAGAATATTTCGAATACTCTTGGAATATTTTGTTAATATTCCAAGAGAATATTTTAAAATTTACAAAGGTGTACTTTGATAATTTTCTAGAAGCATATTTTGTTAATATTTCAGGTAAATTTTTTTAGAATATTCCGAAAGAATATTTTTGATAATATTCTATGAGAATATTTTGTGAATATTTTAGGTAAATATTTCTTTAAAGAATTTTAAACGCGAATATTTTTATATTTTCACAATATTCCAGAAAAATATTTTAATATTCTAGAAGAATTAAAATTTTTTTAAATAATACTTAAATAAGTTTTCTAGAAAAATATTTCATTAACATTCCAGAAAAATGTTACTGTAATATCACTAGTATCACGGAATGTTTCATTCATATTTCTGCAATATTTCATTTAAACATTAGAAAAATTTCGGAAAAATATTCCTTTCACATTTAATGAATATTAAAATTCCCAAGCGACATTTGAACTATTCCTTGGAATAATTCCCGACCATTTTTTTTTTGAATATTGTAATTATAAATAGGAAAATTTGTTTTGCAATATAGAAATATTCCAATGGAATATTACTTTTTAAATTTACATTTTTTTCAATTCTAAATAAATGGATTATTTATTTAAATGGTTTCAAAAAGCGAAAAGAATAATTTTTGCAATAATACTGATAATAATGAAAAAATATTTTCCAAGAAATTCCGATGATATATTCCCACAATACTCTGATGGAATATTCCTACATTATTCCAAAGATTATTCCGAAGGTTTGAGATTTTAATATTCCCAAAATTTGAATGGAATATTCCACACCAATATTCATAAAATTTGGATGGAATATTTCAAAAGAATATTCTTAATGTCCAAATGGAATATTCCAAAAGAATATTCCTAAAATTTGGATGGAATATTCCAAAAGAATATTTCTAAAATTTGAATGGAATATTCCAAAAGAATATTCTTAATGTCCAAAAGGAAAATATTCTCAATTTTCCAATGGAATATTCCAGAGATATTTTCCCAATGTTTCACTGGCATATTCCAAATGTTCCAATAGAATATTCCAGAAGATTATTCTCAATGTTTCATTGAAATATTTCGGAGGATTATTCTAAATGTTTCGGTGAAATATTCTCAATTTTTCAATGGAATGTTTTGGGGGAATATTATTAATATTCCAATGGAATATTCCCAAAAATTTCAGGAATGTGAATGGAATATTTCGTGCTACTGTGATAACATTTTTTACAATTCAATAATATGCTATTACAAATTTTTTGTAAATTAATGATCGCATTATTTGTATTCACAATAATTATGCGTTATTTATTAATATTTTTAAATTATTAATGAAATTATTAATTTTATTAATAATAATGTATTAACATTAATAATTATAATAACTTGTTTAATTATTATTTACGTATTATGCAACTTTAAAATTAAAATCGCAATTTCCATTAAAATATTGCCAATAATCTTAATTGCTTAATTGTTTATTTATTAATAAATATAAATGTATACGGCACTGTATAAAGTTATAACCTTATCAATATCAGAAAAGCCGATATGCGTTGTTAAGGGGTCGTGGGTCATTTTCAATGCGTTAATGTAATTTCTCAAGTTAAAGCAGTTGCATCCTGAATAATTTCGCGACGTGTTATAAAAGTCATTTTGTTCTTCTTACGTGTCTTTTTTTTAAACTCTTTAATCTCTTTCTCAGTCTCTCAACTTTTGTTCGCGCCAATTTAAAAAAAACCTAACTTGTATATAAAGAAAGAAAATTAATTCCAGGTTTGCCGATATTTATAATCCCCTTCTTCATAATTTATGAAATTTTATTTTTTAAAAAAGAAAAATTAATTGTTCGTGTTGTATTTCTATTTTTGTATTCCGAGTTATTAATAATAATTTGTAATAATATTTTTCGTTAATATGTTTTTTTAAATAATTTTTAAAATAATTTTTTAAAAATAATTTTTCTATATTTACATTATTCGTCGTGGTATTTTTTTTCTATGTTTAAAATTATAAATAATACGTAACGATAATAGATATACTGTGTGCATTTATTTTGAAATTTAAATTGATTATGAAATTTTTGAATCATTATCAAGCATTTTTAAATAAGTTTTATCAACAGATAATTATAAGAAACATAATTATTATTGATGTGGTCAATCTGACCTTTGAATTTTATTTTAGGCATGTTCGGTGTTTCTTACCTGCTCGATATTGGATTGATTGTTATATTTATTCTATTTATACCGGCAATATTTCTCAGTTATCTTTGTAAGTAAAAGTCTTTAATATTTTACATTCTTTTTTCCAAAAACCCCCAAAATTTATTTATAAACAAATAAATTTCGATAAAATAAATTATTTACTTCATGCACTGCATAATTTATTTTTTCAAGATTTATTAATTCAATTAATAAAATTTACTAATTATTTACTAATTATTATATATATAGAACATTATTATTATTTATTACGTTAAATTAATATTAATAATAAAATTAATTATTATAAAATATTAACCATGAAGATAGAAACTAGATTTTCGAAAAATTTTTTTTATTAACTGAAAAAACTAATTGCTTAATAATTAAAATTGGATTTTTTGTAAGTTTAAATTGAATAAAATTGTCTAATTAATTAGTTCTAATAAATATAATTTGTAATTAATCAGTTCTAATTAACTTTAATTAATTATCTTTAATTAATTAGATTAATAAATAAATGAAGAAACCGATTAATTTGTAAATGCCTTCATAATTAAAAATTCGAAATTAAATACGAATTTTATTGAAAAAGCAAAGAATGAGTCATTAAGGCTTAAATGTCTTCATTCATCATTGCCAAAGAGCGCAAACAATGACAGCAAATAATAATTGAGAATAAAATTCTTAAAATTAATTAAACATTCAGAATTTAATATCTATGCCAATGATATTGATGAATCACTAAATAGTAACTGATTGGCATTTATATTAATTGTGTTTTTGATAACGATAACATATAAATCAAAACAATTTATTTAGAAATGAACTGAAAATTAAAATTTTCGACTGTAAGCAATTTTTATTTTCAGTAAAAAAAAAAAATTTAATTCAGGAGATAGAAAATTATATAATGATCATAATTTATTTGATTCATAACAAATTTTTGTTAAAATTGTCAAATTATTTTTATTGTCGAGTGTCACTAACTTTACAGTTTCTTTAAATAACGTGAACCAGTTTGTCTCTTCCAGTCGTGAATTGGTCCAGACGATGTTGGGTTCGTTTCGTAAAATGGAAATATCCGCAATACTTGATTGTCAACCAGAACAGTATTAAAAGTATTCTCGAGCATGGAAGAAAGCAGGCAAGCACCTGAAAAAAATAATTCAAATATTAGAAAAAGAATATAAATTGCTACTAAAAAAAAACAATTATAAAGATAAAAAATTACTTTTTAACTTAAAATTTAATTAAATTTTTTTATTCTTAATTTATTTAATTAATTAAATTTTTAATGTATAATTAAAAATTAAAATTTTAATTAAAACTTCTTACCTGACGTTTTCTTTGATTTTATATTAATTTTTAATTTTATTATAAACTTCTTCTTTTTCTTCTTCTTCTTCTTCTTCTTAAATGACTTTAGGCACTGCCAACTGTCAGAACAATTGTATAAACTAATTAAATTAATTTTAATTATAATTAAATTTTACATCAATTATTTTTAATTTTATTATTAAATTAACGAAATTAATTTTAATTATTTAATTAAATTTTATGCTAATTTATTTGTATAGGGAATATACACTTTACTGGTCCAGGGAAGATTCCAAACGGATAATGTGAGGAGTCACTTAATTCATTTAGCGTCATCGAAAAATTTTCTCAAGATGACATTAACCACAAAATGGGGTCTCTATGCCTGGAGAAAATTTGATGATTTTTCTGTCGATAATCATTTAACTATTTCGCCTGGTTCCTTTAAAGGCCGACCAATCACAGAATCCAATATTCAGGTTCAAATTTTTCTTCTACCACTTATTCTTTTGCTTTAATCGCACATAAAAAAAAAGAAATTGAAAAACTTAAAAATTATTCATTTTTTGTACAAAAAAGTAAACAACCAAACAGATAAATAGATGAGTAAATAAACAAACTAAATAAACAAATAATATGTTAAATGAGTGATAAATAAATAAAAGAATAAATAACAAAAAAGAGTGAATAAATTAGTAAAAAATAAATAAAATATAGCTGAACATAAATAAATGAATAAATAAAATAATAATAAATAAAATCAATAAATAAATAAATTAAATAAATATAAAATAATTAAAATGAATAAAATAAAAAAAAATTACAACGAATAAAATAAAAAATAATTAAAATAATTAAAATAATTAAAATGAATAAAATAAAAAATAATTATAATGAGTAAAATAAAGAATAAATAAAATATATTAAATACCTATAAATAAATTGAATAATTGATAAATTAAAGCTAATTAAAGAAAATCCACTTTCAGGATTACGTGAGTGATGTAACTGCAAAATTCTTGCCCTCAAATCATTCGCCATGGCAAGTGCATGTAATTAATTGTTTCGTGAGAGGTGAGGAGAGTAACTTTTGCCTCGTACGTGTACATCATCTTCTTTTACAACAAGATAATTTTACATTGGCCGACTTTTTGCCATTGAAAGTTTCCCCGGAGAATTGGCCATGTCAAAAGACAAATTCCCCATTCACGAATCTTTATTCGGAACCATCGGCACTACCTCGACTTCACGAAAAGCTCGCCGAAAGCTTCAGCAACACCTGGAATGAATTCTTATGTAATAATGATCCAGTTGAGAGACCGGAAATATTCAAAAAGCCAATTAGTCTCTTTCTGTGTGGCAAAATTGGAATCATTATTATGGTATCGACAATGAAAGAACTCACAAGGTACAATCATTATTTTGAAAATTAAAAAAATTAAATTAAATTTTAAAAATTTTAAATTTAAATTTAATTAATTAATTAATTAATTAATTTAATTTAAATTAAAATTTTTTTTTTATTCAATTAAATTTAATTAATTAAATTATTTATTATTAATTAAGTATTAAAGTTATTATTTATTATTAATATAATTATTATTTATTTATATAATTATTACTTATTTAGACAGTCATAGTAATTATTAAATTAATAATGAAATAATATTAATTAATTCAATACTCAGATAGTACGTAATCTTGCGGCAAACTATTCACTATTTATTCATTGTTTATTAATAAAATTTGACCTATATTTCAATAAATGTTAAAAAAAAATTTTTTTTAATTTAATTGAAAATATTTTATAATATTTACAATAAGTTGTAAAATTTAAACATTAAAATTAAAATTAAATTAAAAATTTAAATTCCTTAAATTTTACAGGAAGTATAAGAAAGTTGAAGGACTTCGTGTCAAGGAAATTCTTCAGATTCTTCGGAAAGAAGCGCAGACACGAAATTTTACGTCTAAAATTATTTTAAAATCCTTCTCAGCATCTTTAAATCCATTTGAATTCTCTCGCTTCATTATCTCCTGGATTTGGTATTTGGCTGTGAGCTTGACGTTAAAAATACCAATTTTATTTATTCGCGAATTAAAAGCGTTTAAATCATCAGACAAACATTACTATCCCGACACACTTTCTTCGATACTTTTTTCCTACCTGCCACTAATTTTCCAGGTAAACTATATTTCTGTAAAATTAAAAAATACAAAAATTAAATAAATAATTCAACAAAGTTAAATAATTAAAGTAAATTATTATTATTTTATTTAACATTTTATTATTAACAACAACAACAACAACAATAATAAAAATAATAATAATAATAATAATAATAATAATAATAATAATAATAATTATTATTATTATTATAATTATAATAATAATTATAATAATTATAATAAATTAAATAGTAAATTAATGAATAATAAAATAAATAATATAATGTAATTGTAGAAATAATTGAATAATAATAAATTAAATTATTATTTTTAATTATAACAGGATTTCCACAGGTTAGGGAAGTCAGGAAAAAGTCAGAAATTTTTATCAAAAGTACTAGAAAAAATTAAATTTTTAGAATTCATAAGAAAATTCTGAATTTTCGAGTTTTTTTTTTTTTTTTTTTTGTCTCATAAACTATGAAATTACCACGAAACCTTCAATTTTTTCTATTTCTGACAATAATTTCTAATTAAATAACTTCATTCATAAATAGTTGAACTTCAAAAGGTATTAATTTGAAATTTTATAAAACTTCAATTTTGAATGAATTTAATTAGAAATTTTAAAGAACTCAGATTTTTGAAAAATTGGAATATTTCAAATTCTTCTGAAATTAGTTTAATTTTTTAATACGTATCTAATTAATTATTAAAAATAATGGATTTATAGAAGAATTTTAGTTGAAAATACTAAAAGAATTTGCATTTCGAAGTTAAGTTACAAATGTCGGCAAAAATTCAATTATATTCAAAAGTTTAAAAAAAATTTCCTTCAAAATTTCAATTATATTTTTTTTAAATAATCAAATTCTTCTCCGAAATTCAATTATTTTCAAAAAATTTTATAAATTACATAGCAAAATTTCAATTATCTTTATAAATACCTAATAAAATTCTTTTCAGAAATTCAATTATTTTCAAAAAATTTAAGAAAATTTCATGGCAAAATTTCAATTATTTTCAAACATTTTCTTCAATTCAATGATTTTCAAACTATTTTAATCAAATTCCTCGAAAAATGTAATTATTCTTAAAAATTTTATTAAAATTCGTGGAAAGAATTCAATTATTTAAAAATTTTTTGATAAAATTATGTATAAGAATTCAATTTTAAGAAACATTTAATTATTCAATAAATTATCTATCTTTATATTTAAATAATTGAATTTTCTTTAAATTTTTTAATAAAAATTGAATTAAAAATTAATTTCAGTTAAAGTTTTAGATAATAATTGAATTTTGAAGAAGTTACTAATAATTGGAATTTTTAGAAATAATTGAATTTTGTAAAAGTTTCAAATTGAAATCTTTGAAAATCTTAATTTTTTATATAATTTTAATTAACAATTCTGTAGAATTAATTTTTATTTTCATAAATAATAAAAATATCACAGGAATTCAATTATTTACAAAGAATTCAATTATTTACAAATTTTTTATAAATTTCTTTATAATAATTCCATTATTTTCAAAAACTATACAATATTTAACAGAGATTCAATTATTTTCGTAAATAATAATATTCTTTTTAGGAATTCAATTATTTTCATAAAAAATAAAATTCATCACGGGATTTCAATTATTTTTAATTCAATTTTAATCGAATTTCTCGAAAAAATGTAATTATTCTCAAAAATTTTATTGAAATTCGTTAAAAGAATTTAATGATTTAAAAATTTATTGATAAAATTCTTTCTGAGAATTTATAATTTAATTTTAAGAAACATTATAATTATTTAATGAATTATCTGTTTGTATTTAAATAATTAAATTTTCTTTGAATTTTCTAATAAAAATTGATTTAAAAATTAAGAAGTTACTAATAATAGCAATTTTTAGATATAATTGAATTTTGAAAAAGTTTCAAATTGAAATCTTTGAAAATCTTCATTTTTATGTACTTTTAACTAACAATTCTGTAGAATTAATTTTTATTTTCATAAATAATAAAAATATCACAGGAATTCAATTATTTACAAAGAATTCAATTATTTACAAATTTTTTATAAATTTCTTTATAATAATTCCATTATTTTCAAAAACTATACAATATTTAACAGAGATTCAATTATTTTCGTAAATAATAATATTCTTTTTAGGAATTCAATTATTTTCATAAAAAATAAAATTCATCACGGGATTTCAATTATTTTTAATTCAATTTTAATCGAATTTCTCGAAAAAATGTAATTATTCTCAAAAATTTTATTGAAATTCGTTAAAAGAATTTAATGATTTAAAAATTTATTGATAAAATTCTTTCTGAGAATTTATAATTTAATTTTAAGAAACATTATAATTATTTAATGAATTATCTGTTTGTATTTAAATAATTAAATTTTCTTTGAATTTTCTAATAAAAATTGATTTAAAAATTAAGAAGTTACTAATAATAGCAATTTTTAGATATAATTGAATTTTGAAAAAGTTTCAAATTGAAATCTTTGAAAATCTTCATTTTTATGTACTTTTAACTAACAATTCTGTAGAATTAATTTTTATTTTCATAAATAATAAAAATATCACAGGAATTCAATTATTTACAAAGAATTCAATTATTTACAAATTTTTTATAAATTTCTTTATAATAATTCCATTATTTTCAAAAACTATACAATATTTAACAGAGATTCAATTATTTTCGTAAATAATAATATTCTTTTTAGGAATTCAATTATTTTCATAAAAAATAAAATTCATCACGGGATTTCAATTATTTTTAATTCAATTTTAATCGAATTTCTCGAAAAAATGTAATTATTCTCAAAAATTTTATTAAAATTCGTTAAAAGAATTTAATGATTTAAAAATTTATTGATAAAATTCTTTCTGAGAATTTATAATTTAATTTTAAGAAACATTATAATTATTTAATGAATTATCTGTTTGTATTTAAATAATTGAATTTTCTTTGAATTTTCTAATAAAAATTGATTTAAAAATTAAGAAGTTACTAATAATTGCAATTTTTAGAAATAATTGAATTTTGTAAAAGTTTCAAATTGAAATCTTTGAAAATCTTCATTTTTATGTACTTTTAACTAAAAATTTTGTAGAATTAATTTTTATTTTCATAAATAATAAAAATATCACAGGAATTCAATTATTTACAAAGAATTCAATTATTTACAAATTTTTTATAAATTTCTTTATAATAATTCCATTATTTTCAAAAACAATACAATTTTTAACAGAGATTCAATTATTTTCGTAAATAACAAAATTCTTTTTAGAAATTCAATTATTTTCATAAATAATAAAACTCATCGCAGAATTTCAATTGTTTTTAATTTCAATTTTAATCAAATTCCTCGCAAAAATTTAATTATTCTTAAAAATTTTATTAAAATTCGTCGAAAGAATTTAATGATTTAAAAATTTATTGATAAAATTCTTTATAAAAATTAAAAATTCAATTTTGAGAAACATTCAATCAATCAATAAATTATTTATTTTTCTATTTAATTGATTGTAAAATAAAGAAAGAAAAAAATAAATATTTGAATTCTCGTAGAATTTTCTAATAAACATTGATTAAATAATAAAAAATTATCGAATAATTTTACAATATTAGAAATATTCGTAAATGTAATAAAAAATTTTTTTGAGTATCTAATAATTTTTAGAGTGAATCAGAATATTCTTTAGGATCAGGGAAAAAAAAATTTTGTCTGAAAATCTGGGAAAAAGAAAATAAATTTTTTTGTACCAATCATGTATAATAAAAAAAGAAATGAATTTTGAAAAATCTTTTTAGGCAACTCTGGAACTTTTCTCCATAACTGCAATAGCTGTAGGAGCGCCGAGGTCAATTTTTGACGAGCTATTTTTAAAGCACACTGAAATAAATCTTTTGCAAAAAATTTCGCCATGTGGCAGAAAAGTCGTTGCCTGGTCGGACGAAGTGAATACAGAAATACTGCAAAAAATTTCCAGTGTTACTGGCGCGACAGAAACGGAAATACTTTTAGTGGCAATTGTCGATTCGTTGAAGGAGTATTTTCGACAATCACTACATCAAATACCAGAGGAGATATTGGCAACAGCAGAATTTGTCAGTCAGAGGGATCTTTTTGTGAAAAATCACAAAACCAGAGGGCTTTTGTGCTTGGGCCTTCCAACGAGAACCCATCTATTTGAGGATGATCTCATTGAAATTTTACAGGTGTGATGAAAATTGAAAACGAACATTAATTTATTTAATTAATTTAATGATTTATTTCTTTACTTTTTATTTTTTTAATTCTCCTCAACAATTTTTTTTTTTTTTTTTTTTTTTTTTTTTTTTTTTTTAATTTGAATTTATATTTATTTTGTTAATTCAGATTATTCAGAGGAATATCCAAGATGCAAGATCAAAACAAAAGGCAATTTACGCCATAACAAAAGCTGAGACATCCTCTGGATTAATTACGTCTTGTTTGCCCTCAATATTTCTGAAAATTTTACTTAATCATCTGACGAGAAGATACTCAGTTTCTCTGACACACGTGGATGGAGATTTGCCAATTGACAATATTCGTACCGCAGTTTATTGGCGACCACCTCAAGGAAATTGCAGTAAGTCCAATTTAAATCTAAATTGTTTAAAATAAATCAAAAACATATGCATATTAAATATATTCAATTTAAAAATAAACGTAAGTTTATTCCTTTGCAATATTACAAAAGAATTTTTAAATAGTAAAAAAATCACTATGGAATATTGCAAAAAAATATTATAATATTAAAAAAAACATTTTATTAAAATACTATGGTAGAATATTTCGTTGGAATATTAATAAAATATTTCATTGGAATATTAATGAAATATTTCGTTGGAATATTAATAAAATATTTCATTGGAATATTAATAGAATATGTAACATCCGACTACAAAAAAAGTAATAATAATAATAATAATAAATGATAGACAAAGTGAAGAAAAAATTAGATACGGAAATAATAACAAAAACTGATAAACAGTAAAAATTGAAAAATAATAATAAAAAAAATAAGAAAATAAAATGGAAAAATTTCACAGGTATGTCGATGACACTCCACAGGCATGGCAATGGAGTAAGATTGGGAGTAATGTGCGACGCAATGTTCGGACCACAGCACACAATAATAACAAAAATATTTCCAAAAAGTTTACAAAATTTTGCCATTAAAGTGGGAGTGCCAAAAGTGCCGAGAAGAAGTCCTAGTCCAAGTCCATCGAGTCCTACAACATCACCAGGTTATTGAGAAAAAAAGAATTTTACTTCCGTCCTCTTTATATAATGTGAAATTACAAATCAGTAATTTCCGGTTTATAAAAAAAAATGAAGACTGGAATTTTACCAAACTTGTTTTTTTTATTACTCTATACTTAATTAATAAATTATATTAAAATTATTTTGTAGTGAAACTTTTTTTTTAAATCATTTTTTTTTATTCAAATATAGTTAAAATATATATTTAAATAAAAATCTTTTTTAAATTAAATTTTTTAAAATAAATTAAAAAATTTAATAAATAAAATGTTATCGATATTTTTTGTATAACTTATTTTTTAATAATATATAAAATTTAAATATTCAAGTTGTACGTGAAATTTGTCACTCATTATATATACATTCCCCTAAATTTTTTTTTATTTATTGAAATAAATATTTAATTCAAAAAGGAAAATACAACTACAAAATTATTGCAGGAATATTTTAATATTTTACATCTGAAACATATTTCATTAAAATATTTTATTAATATTCCTTGAATGTTTTTAAATTACTACCTACATTCCTAATATTTTTCTAAAAAAAAATTATTTAAAAAAAAATGTGTTCAAAAAGAAATTTCTATTAAAAATATTCCATTAAAATCTAGGAAATAAAACTAAGAAATATTCCAGGAATATTTTTTATTATTTAATTAATAATTAAAAAAAATAATTAAAACATTTGTTTTTGATATTTTCTTAAAAATAAAAATGAAAATATTTTTGACACCATTTTCTAAATATTTTAATGGAATATTAAATATTCAAAGAAGAAACATATTTTATTACTATAATTATTATTGTTATTATCATTATTTTTTTATTATCCTTATTTTTATTAAGTTAATAAATATTATTATTTTATTATTATTATTATTATTATTATTATTATTATTATTATTATTATTATTATTATTTTTTATTAGACTCATTAACATTATTATCATAATATTCATAATACAACAAATAACATGCACCAATCCTATTGATACAAATTTTTATTCATTGTCTTTTTTTGTAGAACATAAAACCTAATATGACAAAATTTCTAGTTAATAAATTAATTTTCAGAACATAAATTTATCTTTTACAATATTCTCTAATCAATTTTCGTTTAATACAGTATTACAGAACAATTATTTAAAATAAAAAAATACATAAATTTTTGACATTTCGAAAAAGTAAAATACAGAATATTCTTAATATGAAATATTTATATACCTACAAAACGACGTTTATTAATTCAATTTTAAAGAGAATAAGTTAAAAATATTCTATATATTTATAAATAATGACAATTTTTTTTTTATCGAATTCAATGAAAAATGTGTAACATTATAATATAATATCGAGGAAAAAATGAGAGAATACAATAATCAATATAATTAATGTATAATTATATAAGAGAAAATTTTATAAAAAATTACACATCCCAATTTGGATTTTTGATAATAGTTATACAAATGTCCTTATTAAAAATATATAGTTATCTATTTAGAAAACCGTATAATTGAAAAAATTGTTCTTTTCTTTAATAAGAAAAAAAAACATAATATTTTAAGAATAAATTAACATCGTAATATTTTTTTTTTATTATTATTAAATACTCCAGTCTCCTGTATAATGAAAGGCAACAATGTTTTACAAAATCTATATCTATATCAAAAAGGTGCTTGAATTTTGATTGTTTTGAAAATGTGGCAATTATTGTATTTCTTAAAAATACAAATTTTTTGTTTTTTTTTATATTTTTTTTTATTGAAAATTACCCACAAAAATTATTTTTATTGGTTTTTGTATTTTTTATTATTGAAAGTTTTCCAAAAAAAAAGTATTTTAATAGATTTAAATAAGACTTTGATAACAAAATTTTTATTTTATTTTTATATCAGGCCCGTGCATACTGGGAGGGGAGTAGTACCTATTTAAAGACAAATTTTTTTTTTATAAACCACACTTGATTTTCAAACCCTCCCCTCTCATTTAGAAAAAAAAACACCGTGTGTGGAGTCAAATCTATTTTTCTGTGCTTTGCAATATTCTTGTCTGTATTTTATTATTTTTTTAATATTTTAATTTTTAAATTTCACGAAAGGACAAAACTAAGAAATTTTTTTCAAAATAATTTTATCGTTTCAGGATGGTATAATATTGTGTAGCATTTCTGTTTTTCTGTAAGCGTAATTTGTTCTCCTGTACCTATTTTATCAAATACTTATTTTAAAAATACTATATATACAAAAAAAGTTTCCATTTTTCGTAAAATAACATTTGCCGATTTGTTTGTAAATATTATTGTGCTTCATGTAAATAAAATCCATACACAGTAAAACAACATCACTGGAGTAAATTAATTAAAAAAAACATTCATTTAATTAATAATTCATTAAATTCATAATAATTAATTTCATAATTAATTTTATAAATAATTAATTCGATAATTAATTTTATAACTAATTTCAAAATTAATTAATTCAATTGTTAATTTCATAATTAATTAATTCAATTATTAATTACATAATTAATTACTTCAATTATTAATTTCACAATTAATTACTTCAATTATTAATTTCACAATTAATTACTTCAATAATAAATTTAATAGTTAATGTCATAACAAATTTGATAATTAATTAATTGGATAACTAATTGTATAATTAATTTCATCATTAATTAATTAATATTAATTGCATAATTATCGTAATTAGTTAATTCGAAAACTAATTTACTAATTATTTAAATTTAAAAATTATTAATTAACTGTTAAACTAAATTTTATCTTATGCTTCAGCATCACATTTTTCTATATTACAATTTTGTAGATTCAGTGTCACCCTATTGTTATTCTTTCCTTTCTATATAATAGGTTAATTAGTATAATATTACTAGTATTTTTCAGATCACATCAGGATTTACAAGATTTAGATAACAAAAATTATTCAACAGTGCCAGAAAATCTGTTTTTTTTTTAATAACTACATAAAACGTAACAATTATCAACAAATTCAATCGAAGTATCTACAATAAAAACTAATATATTACGAGAATCTGGAATGTTCAAGAGATTCAGAAAAAGAAAAGTATTTTTTTTCTAAACGTTAAAACAAAATTACACACTGAAAAAGAAAACAAATTTTAAAAAATAAAATTCAATGAAGAGGAGCTTAAAGATGATAAATCTAATTCAGAACTTAAAAACAAACCAAGAGTATATGGGTACAATTTTGCTAATAATGACAAAATTGTTTTTAATTGTTTTACCAAATAATATTTCTTTTATCTATTATGCAATGATTCACATGCATTAAATTCTCTCTATATGTGAAATATTTTCCTTGGGAAAAATTATTATTTATTTCACGGATGGCCTATATAATTAATTAATATTTGTCGTAGATCTTTGGACACAATTAGGACTAGTTTCACCAATACTGATTAAAAGTTAATCAATTATTAAATCCTCAATCAATCAAACATGAAGTCGTTAAACTGTCTTTAATTTTTTCGTCCGACATAGGAGAAAATGTATCTTGACACTTTTTTTTATTTATTATTATTTTATTTATTCTTTTGTTTCTTTTTTTTCTGTTTCATTAGCTGTGGGAAGAGTTTTATTAGAGCTTGGAATTTGAAATTTTGATTAATGTGGATTAGTTTCAAAGTTATGATGAATTTAATGCATTTGTGGTACAGCGTACTATGTACCATGTAGCTTTTAATTGTGATTGGTGGAATTAGCCCTTAAATATATTATTCAAAACTAACAGAAAGGAGAAATTATTTTTCCTAAGCATACGCCTCTCTTTCCTTCTCCATTTCCACTGGACCACTGCCCCAGATTTTTCTATTGGTGGTGTAAGGAATAAATCCCATGAGAAATCCTGAGAAAATAATCCAACCACCAGCCATGAAAAATGATAGATCCCATGTACCGGTGATATCGAAAAGTAATCCCGCTAATGGTGGTCCTAATAAATTGCCAATACCCTGACAAAGAAGACTCAGACCGTAGGCAGTCGTAAATCTCTCCAATGGTATCAATTCAACGAGAATTACCGGTGTGAAACTAAAATTACTCGCAAAAAATAATCCAAAAAATGCCGAGACAATTATCATGAAATAATAGTTGTAGGTTAAAAATGACATTAGACATGTTGCCACTCCACAGGCAACGAGGCAACAAGTGTAGGTTTTGCTGACATTCATCCAAGGTTGATCGCCAGCCCAGCCTAAACCAATCTGTGAAACAATTTTTTCTTTCAATATTTCGCCAACAAGTGCCTAAAGGTGCATAGTTTACTTTTTTTTAGTCTATATACTCATTATGTACTTTAAATTGAACCCAGTGGTGAAAAAAAAACATTTACGTTCGAGGAACAATCCTAAAACATTTCATGTCTGACACATTAACATTTTTAAAACGTTTCTTGTTCTAAAAACGTTTTTAGAACATGATTGATTAATAGTACATTCTTTGTCAGACATTAAACGTTTTAGGAACGTTCCTAGAACCTCAATGTTTTCTTTTACCACTGGAATAGCACCGAAAGCTTCCTCAGAGTTGAAATTAACTTGACTGCAAGTTTACACACTTCTGAATCTTTAGTCGAAAAGCTCATCAAACTTAAAGTAATTCCTTAATTGTTCACTGCGCTTTTCAGCATTTGACGCTAAAGTTGACTGAAAATTTCATGATGGAATCTTATGAACGATAATTACTTCAAGAAATTAAAAAATTACTTAAAATTTCATGAGATTCATAACTAAAGATTCCAAAGTCTGCAAAAATCTTTTAGAAAACATTCGCAGCCGTATAGAAAGTGAAGTCTCATTATTCTCTCGTGGTTAATTAATTTCAAAAATCCGTTTACCATTCCTATTGTATTTGTAATTCCAATGATGCTAAGTAAAAAAGAACCCTCATCCTCCGAGTGTCCATTCCTTTTGAGATGCTCAACGAGATAAAAATAGGGGACAATGAACCAGGTGAATAGTAAAATTGTCGACAAAGACAGTAAAAGAAAGTGTAATTCGAGAAACATTGAAAAGTCCATCATTCCTTTTAGTAATTCGATCAATTCACTGTACCATTTCTGTAAAAATAGAGGATATTTTAGTACTTTTTGAAAATTTTCTTTCTAATGCAACTATTTGATTGATGCAACTTTTAATAAATCTGGTTAAATAAATTTGGTTTAATAAATTTGAAGTTATTAAAAACTGAAGCATAAATAAATTTTAAACGAAACGTGCCTCCTCGCTCTCCTTTGCCAAAGTCGTCATACTGTTTCTGTATATATTCGGACAGCTACTAGCTCTCAGTCTATACTTGTGGAGATTCAATACAGCACCTCGATACATAACAGAATTTCTGTGCACTCGAATATCCTTGAAGTAATGAGTATTTGTACTAAACTGTCTCCTAAGCCAGGGCAATGAATCAGTTCTAACAACGCCACCTGAAATTCCAGGTAGATGATGTCTCGATACGGATTTCGCCCGTTCGGCTTCAGCCATCTGAGAAAAAGAACAATCAACTTCGTTAAACTCTATTTATTAAAAACTTATTTTTGATAAACACTTCTAAATTACTAACAGCCTGAGCTACTTCTTTTGCCAATAACGGATTCGTTTCCTCCAGGTCCTTCCTAGACATTCTTCTGGTGGCAAGAACTTTCGTTGATGCATGAGTTGAACCAGGACGAGAATCCTTCGTCTGATTTTGGGCTCGCTTTGCTTTGTCCGTTGCTTGCTTTATCCTGAAAATGTACGGTTCGTTAGTTTCTGAAAAGTGTACTATTTAACCCCTTTAGTTAAAGACTTTGGATGTCTAATCTTGGTACTTAAGGAGTTAAACAAAAGAAAAGGGAAATAGTTAAGTGGAGGTGTGCAAAAATAACGAAAAGTAAATTGGATTAGTTGCTATAAATTATTTAGGCTAAAGTAAATAAAAATCGTGCAGGTTGCAGATAGCAGACCAGTCTTGTAACCTCATCGACATTGTGACTCCTCGCTTATTGAATACATCAGGATTCCAATCATCGAGCTTCTTGTCGGACAAGGATCTGCACAGCAAAATACTGGGATAGTTTTCCAAAATTACGTTATACAGTCTTGAATTTGAAGAAAGGGATTCTAGAACCTCCAAAGGCACCTGAAAGAAAATAATTCTTTTTGTAATTAGTATGAATAAATAGTATGTCAATCAAAAAACCATACTATTACGATTCTAAGTGAAGAATCAAGCTAACGAACCTTTTCACTCTGTCTCACGAAAGTCGGCAAATTGACAACACTCCTAAAAGATGTTCCCCCTCCGTCAACAGTCGTTGGTGTTTCCGTACTCGTTCTCAAACTTTGCAACAAATACTCAGGTGTTTTTCCACTCTTGAGTAATTTTCGAAGTTCCTCAACACCGGGAAACTCCTCGACTGGAGTATTCGGTGATCTGGCACCATCCGATCTCGCCGTTGATTTCTTCGGTGAACCTAAATTCTGCTTTCTCTGCTCTAAAATCCACCATTTTGGATCTCTCATCACTGCACCGCAGACAATCATGTTGAAGAATGTACCAGCTAATAGGAGTATAGTTCCCCTCCAACCGTATTCCTTAATGAAAAACGAAGTCATTGGTGCGTATACAAATGTACCTATACCTGTACCGCAAGCCCCTAGACCTACAGCTAGAGTTCTTTTCTTATCGAACCAATAAGCGATGCTCACAACCGCAGTGACGTAACACAAACCCAAACCTAGTCCCGCAATGACGCCAAAAGTCAGGTACATTACCTCAATGCTGTTACTGAAGCTGCTTAAAACAAATCCCATTCCTGATATAAAACCCCCAGCTATTGTCATATTCCTGCATCCGTAACGATCAACCAATGCTGACATCACAGGTCCTGATAGTAGAGGCACCGCCATGAATAATGACCCAATCCAAGCAGTCTTAGCCTTTGAGGCTCCAAATTCCTCTAGGAATTTACTATACAATAGACCAAAACTGAAAGAAACTCCATCGGCCACCATGGAAATTATTAATGACGCCATCACTACGACCCAACCCCAACCGCCGTCAGGTATCTTTGGTTTAATATCCTCCGTTTCATCGTTCAACGATTCCAAACCATCTTCATCGTCATATATCTCCAGTATACTCTCCCCACCATCAATCGAGTCTCGTTTCTTATCAACATCAATATAACCGGGATTTGTTATCAAAATTTTTTCAGGATCAGAATATTTTCGATGAACCAGTATTCCCTGTGTTTTCTCCGGTGATTTTCTTGTTGTCTCCGTTTCATTTTCACTTCTCTCAGTGGGACTTGGACCAACGGTAAGATTTGGCGACGTCAAATAACTATCAACAGGAGTCGCTGGTATTCTATCCTCCGTACAATCGGTAACTGGACTCAAAAAATCCATTTTATCACGAAACTCATCACCAATACTGAAATCATCATTTGTCGTAAATTGTGTTTCTCCATCGGGTGTTAATGATTCACTTCCATCAATTGTAAATGGTGGTGTATTTAACATTAGCCGTTCATCGGCAATGCTACTGAGATTCTCTGTATTATTCGAATCTTGTCCAATTCCAGAACTTCTGGACGAACTTCTCGTTTCATTTGATTTCGATTTATTGCCATTGGATTCAATTTTTGTATTCTCTGAAAGAGTTGTTGTTTTTTTGGGGGATTTTTCAAATATTTCCTGATCGGGTGAACTAAGTGGTGAACTGGGAAATACTGTGGGACTGCCATTGTGCCAGCCAACAATGGGCGCTGGTCCACGTTTTTTGTCCTTATTTTTTTGATCACGTGATATTGAACCAATTGATTCTGTGTCCTTATTTTGTGGAATTTCTTCCTTTTGATAGTTAACGAGGCGTTGATAATTGCTGGCATCTTTCTTCACGTAGAGACCCTCTTTTCGTGGTGGACTGACAATTCCTGAATCATTATTATTATTGTGATTATTATGATTCTTGAGATGTTGTTTCACCGCGTCGCTAGGATTGTCACGAAGGAAGTTTCGGTTCCTGTCGGCCATTCTTCTAAATATAGGTATTTGTCGACTGGCTCCAGCGACGCGGCCAGCCTTTTAACCCCTGAATCTCGTTTGGCACGGCACCCGCGACACCGTCAGCTACCATAAGGACCTTCCGACGGTTCTCGCACCGGCTCCGAGGTGTCGAATCCCTCAGCATACACGCTTCTTGATCTGCCTTTTCCTGGGGAAAGAATTTTTATTCGTTTCTTTATAATGACACAATGAATTTTTTACAATATTAAAAATTGGTAAAATTTAAGTCACTATCCTTTGGGGCATGTCAATTACGTCGATACTCCAAATCCCTCAACTCGTTTATATTCTTGCCGACAACAGCAATTCTAATTATTTACTGCTTTCAATTTCTAAGGTAATTTTTGAACCTAAAAGCTTTGAAAAAATGTTTTCACTTTCTTGATTCGAAGCAAAAAAAAAAAAGAGTTCTCGACTCTTAGCGTCAACACCAACTTCAGAGTTCTAATAATAAAAAAAGTAATTTCTTGTTTTCAGGTTTAAAAATATCCTTAAAATTTTTATTCCTTTAGCCGGCTTTAGGTGAACGTAAAGAGTCAAATTAGTAACATTCACAAAAATCCCAAAAAATAATTTTCGGCTCTGAGCATCGACGTCAATTCAGAGCACTTTCAAAGATCTTTCCAAGTATTTAAAAAAAAATGTTCGACATGCCCTTAAAGATTGTAACTATTTCAAGGATATATAATCTTTTATGAGCATTAGTTTATATTTTGAAAAATTGAATTTCTACACATTTATTTGAAATAACAGTATAATTTTTCTCTATTAAATGATACAAAAAGGAGTTTATAAAAAATAGTAATTCAGTGTGGAAAATAAGAGAATTATAAAGAATTACCATTTTTATTGAGTCACTCCATACTTTGTTCCAAAATAGAACAATATGGATTTGAAACTAAAAAAAAATTAAAAATTTTTCATTAAAAAATTATATTATTCAAGGCAATAAAAAACATTAGACTAACTACTGAAAAATTAACTATATATTATGCAAATTAAACGTGCAAATGTGTAATTAATGTAATTAGAATTCGTGCTGTATTTTAGTTATATACTTTAATCAATATTAAATAAACACGTGTGCTTTTTAACATATAACACTAAATTGTTAATTACAATAAATTAATTAATTAATTAATTACTTATTAACTAAAATAAAAATTAATTTTATTAAAAAATAGTTTTTTTAAAATTAATTTCACTAAAAAATAATTTTTTTAAAATTAATTTCATTGAAAAATAATTTTTTTTAAATTAATTTTTTTCATCTAGATATTATTTAAATTTGTATAATTATTATTTATGAAAAATAGAATGAAATACAATAAAATAGAAATAAAATATTGTTAATTAAATTCATTGAACATTGTAAATAATAATTAACAAGTATAATAAATAAAATGTACAAAGTGTCCAAAAAGTTTCAAACGAATTTTAATATTTCTATAGAAATTTAAAAATTGAAATGAATAAAAGTATTGAAAAAATTAAGAAAATAGAAATATTCTCACCGAGTGTAAAATTATTTAGACACACTGTACATATTATTCATACAGAGTCTTCAAAAGTACAAAACTAATCAAATTTTTCGAAATGTATTAAAAAAAAAATTATTCCAACGAAAGATCTTTAATAAATTTTAATAAATTATCTTTAATAAATAAATAAAAATCCTAATAAATTACAAAAATTTTATTTATAAAATAAATTTTATAAATTATAATATTTTAGAAAGAAAATTAATATAATATTCTTATTAATTAATTATAATAAATAATATAATAGAAAAATTAATTTAAAAATAAATTAATTAGGATCTACTTGACCGATTCCGTACTTTTTCAACACTCCATATAATATTAGATTTATTGACTAAAAACAAAGAGAAAAAAAAATTATTTATAAAAAAAACAAAATGAGTACTCACCATCAAGGTAATATATAACAAGACTTATGCAGGTGCACATGCGTGATTAGGTTTAGAAATATATTTGCGACATACGACGTAATGTGAGCATCGTGCAATAAAAGAAAGAAAAAAAAAGATAGAGGAATATAATTATTTACAAAGCAATCGTTTAAGCACTGCTAGCCAAGAACTGTAACGATTAATAATTCTCTAATATAATCTACGAAGGGGAAAAAAATAGATATTAATAATAAACATACAAACAAATCATGCAAAATAAAACCTGTTAAAAATTAGAAATTGTATTAATAAAATTAATAACAATATTAATTACAAAATTAATAGAACATGCATTTTTATTAAATACCAAAAAATGTATTTTTTATTGTATAAAATTAAAGTTCAAGATAGATGCTCTCGTATTGTTTGAAAATTAAATTAATAAATTAATTTAATGAACGAATTGAAAATTTTATATTAATTAATTAATTAATTAATTAATTTTAATTATTATATTTGTTAGAACAATATATTTAGAGTGTCTATCGTAACTTTAAATTTATATTCAAATATAATAAATAATTATAGTCTAGTATTAAAAGCAAAAATAATTTTACCTAACAATAATAATAATATAAATATAATAATAATGGAGAAACATAATAATAGTTTTATTAAAGAATAATTTAATTCAAAAATTATTCATTTTCCGTAAATAAGTAAATAAATTGAAGAACAACAATAATAACAATTAAAATAGTAATAATACAATAATAATAATAATGAAATAATAAAAATAATAATAATATTGTTTATTGAATTTTCCCAGAATTTTTGAGCCCCAACAGAGTTAGTCCCACATTTTTTCATAGTTTTAAATTTATTTATCAAATAATACTGTTGTTATTAGTACAAATTTTATTCATGAATTTTTTCATAAACAAATAAAATTTCCCTTATTCTTAAGGCTATTTTGCAAATACAGACTAATAAATTTATATTTGTTAACTGACTAATATAAATAATAATGAATTATTATCCATGGAGAAAATGTGAATATTTAAATTTCTTTCAAGGAAAATTTTTCTAAATATTTCCATAGGTACATTGGCCAAGGTTACAATTTATTTTATTATCAAAGAATCAGAGGTGAAAATATTTTGTCACACGCAACAATTCTGAGAAATAATATGAAAAAATTTCCCTATTTGATTTGTATGATGAAAGTTGTGACTAACATTGATTTTTGATGATTTAATCTTTAAAATTTCCAGATTGATTAAAATAAAAAAAAAATTATATATAGAGTAATATACAGGGTGTGACAAAAGAATGGAACAACTTAAATATTTCTTAAAATATGCATTTTGGGGCAAAATTTTTGGAACAAAAATTGTTGATGGGCTTAAAAGAATTATATTAATTTTAATCCATTTGGTAATTTAATTTAAGCCCAGCAACTTTTGTTTCAAACATTTTGCCCCAAAATGCACTAATTATACACTTCAAAAAAAATTCTTTCTTTGATTCTAATTGTTTTCGCGCAAAGAAATTCAATATAAAGAGTTGAAATAAAATTAATTTTTTGTAAAATGAAGAAAAAAAATCACGATTACTAATACTTGATAGTATTTATAAATTATAAGTGAATGAAATTTATTGCCCTCATGTTGACTTCTTTGAACCAAATATATTAAAAGTTTCATATTATTTCCTTAAGACATCAATATTACTGTTTACGTTAAACAATAAAGCAGTAGAGTAAATTTTTTGTCTCTGTAAAAAATGTTAATAAATATTCAGCATTGACTGCATTTAATTTTCGTCAATAATAAAATTCTTTTTAGAAATTCATTTATTTTCATAAAAAAGAAAATTCATCACAGAATTTCAATTATTTTCAATTCAATAAATTGTAAATCAAATTCCTCGAAAAATGACGAAGTTGAAGTCCACAACGTTTATCAACGAAAAAAATTTAATACCTTTCAAGTATTATTTTTAATTTAATATTTAATTGGTAAAATAATTATTATCAAAATATAAACATCAATCTTTTCTTTCTAAATATTTTTGTGTCAATATTGCTGCGCTTTTTTAATTAATTTACTAAGTAGACAATTTTTTTCGTTGATCAACGTTATGGACTTCAACTTGGTGAAAAATGTATAATAATTATTCTTAAAATTTTTATTAAAACTCGTGAAATGATTTCAATTATTTAAAAATTTGTTGATAAATTTATGTATTAGAATTTAAGAATTCAATTTTTGTCTGAAAATCTGGGAGAAGTCAGAGAAAAACAAAATTTAATTTGTGAAAATAAGTTGATATTTAGAAAAAAAAATTTTTTTTAAGAAGAAAGGAATAAATTTACAAAAGGTTTAAAGGGTCGATTATAAACTTTTGCGGATTTTCTAAATAAATTCCCACTCGTTTAAAATTTATTCAAGTGCAAAAACCTTATATGCTCAATAATACATATACAGACAATAATAATTATTGTGCGATTTGACTGCAAATTTGATTTGTTTGAACACGCGAAATATACGTCAGCATTTAATCCCCTAAAGTGTAAGGTCTCCTTCTCAGATGAAAAGCCTCTTATCAAAAGATACGTAACTTCTGTATGTAATAAATGAAAATTTCATTTTTCTTTCTAAACAGAATATTAATATTTAAAAAATGGAATATTTAGAAATATGAACATAATTATTCAATTTGTATTCTCTCTATAGAAGAAGGTGCGGGAATTAAGTTATTCAGGTCAGTTAAAAATCGATTAATAGTCCTATCATTTTTTTTTTTTTTTTTTTTTTTTTTTTAAGTAAATGTTTAACCTTTAAGGTCTTTTGGCGTAGAGTAGATGTCTTGTCACGCAATTAGACACGGTCTGGAAAACAAGGACATTGAAAAGATCAATAGGTCGTGAAATGTGGATCATTTCCAAAAAGAAATGCGTTTGGCATCAAGTGGCATTTTACGGAAATGCATATATAAATATGTGAGTGTATGTAATTTTAGTTTCAAAATTAAAATTTTCTTAAATTTCATTCAAAATGAAAATTTACTTTAATTCAGAATAAAAAAAATTTACTTCAATTCAAAAAAAAAAAAAAAAAAAATTACTTAAATTAATTCAGAACTGAAATTTATTTTTCAATTCAAAAGTTTCTTTTCTTTAAATTTTTCAAATAATTCGCATGAGAAGGAAATAAAATAGTGAAAATCCATGAAATGTATTTTTACTCTTCAATCAATATTGTAGCAACGATAGAAAAGATATATACACTCTGCAACATTATGATAATAAAAACTAAATCAGATTCTACAACCTAAAAAATAAATTACCCTGAGAAATAAATTTCTTGACCCAAGGAAATAAAAAAAACCGTCAAGGTCATGTTTAAAATAAAGGGTAATAAGTTACATTTCTAAAAGTCAATTTCATAATTTATAATTATTTCCAAAAAAATATGCTTTGTTTCATTTGAAATAATTTCAAAAATGGTACTTTTTGTTTCATTATAAACAATTATTATATTTTCAAAATAGTACTTTGTTTCGTTTAAAACATCAATTATTTCCAAAATAGAATTTGTTTCACTTTAAATATATTAAAGAATAAAGAATTGGAAATAATTATTTCACTTCATATGCAAAATTATTCATTCGACTTGAATGGTAATGATTTTTTTTTCTACAATAATTATGAAATTATGTCGTGACGAGTCAATAGAATTGTGTCTTCAAAAATACTTTGTTGTTGAAAAAATATATATAATACCAAATTCTAAAATTGAGGAAACGCGCAAATATTTCTAACTATTTATAATCAAAATCTTTCTCAATGTTTATTAATAGTAAATCATTTTAATACGTCATACTTCCTAACTCTAAACATAATAATCTTACTAGTTGAAAAATAGTTTTTAGAGTGATTTTGTGGAAAGAGTTCAGACATAACAAAAAAAACATAAAAAAAA